GCGGGGGTCCCATCTTCCATTGGAGTCGGTTTAGTACCATCCTCTCGGCCGTCTTGGTCAGGCAACTGAGGAGAGAGATGGAGCGGTACTTCCCTGGCTCGTTTGGTTTTGGGATGGAAACTATGGTAGCCCTCTTCCAGCCCTGGGGTAGAGTGGAAGTTTCCCAGGACTTGTTGATGAGTTGCAAGAGTGCAAGCTCACCTGCTAGTCCTAAGTAGGAAATGATGAGGTACGAAATCCCATCAGAACCTGGGGCTGAGTGAGAACTGTTTTTGTAGGTTTTTCTTAGTTCCCTCGGAGAAAAGATAACATCTGAGTTATCGGGTTCGGCTGCCCTTTCTCTGACATGAACAAGTCTGTCTGGTTGTTGGTATTCTTTTCTTACCCTTAGTTCGGCTGGTAGACTGTTGCTGCGTGTTCTCGCAGAGAACTCGTACGCCAGTCTGTTTACTCCCGATTGGGGGTCATGATGAGTCAACGTTCTGTCTAGCAGGAGCTAATTAGACAGACCGGGGTTGAGGCGGCTGAGGGCCTCAGAAAGGAAGGGGCTCCTACCTGCTTATTCGTTTTTATACGAAAAATAGAGTGGCAGTCGTCAGATGGTCTGCCATACCATCCCATAGCAAATAGAATGGCAACTATCTGCAAACCGTAAGGCAGGCACACTAAGGTCCCCCAGACATACTCTCCCTTGCGGGAGGTAAAGGTCTGCCCACGTCCGAGCACGAGCCCGAAGATGGGGTCCAATTCGCCAGAAGGTGCGCAGAGAGTTATCCAAATGCTGAAAATGCGAATAGGAAAGAATTGGCTATAGGGCACGAAGCTATTTGCAAGCAATTAGAATCACGGCAGCAACGAAGGGTGAGCACAAAACAGCCAGGGTATCACGCAAGGGCCAAGATCGAGTTTGCTGTGGTGAAAGTCCAATGCGTCTCTTTAAACCATCCAAGCAAAAACCTTGACACCGAGAGGTCCTGAGAGCCCTTGGTATTTTCTGGCCGAGTGCCAACCGCTGCGCCCCGTCGAACACCTTTTCCGGGCGGTTCCTCTAATCCCTCTGAATCAACCACCCAAAGGCTGATTCACGGCAGGGAGAGAGGAGAGGAATATCCTTTCAAGGTAGATCCCGAGGCAGGCGCTGCTCAGTGACGAGACCTTACTTATATAGACATTGTCTCTAAACAAGGGGTAGGCAAGTCTTATCTGATTAGAATAGAAGTAGAATAGAAGCCGGGAATTGTTGCCCAATCGGCCAGCACTTCTCATCGGACTGAAGAAGCTTAACATTTTTTGCCTGCTATGAGAACCAAGGTTAAGGGAACCCTCTCTTTCTTGAGCTATTAATCTAGAGCCTTTAAATTTATACCCTTTTATTCTTGTTCCCGTCTATAAAGTCTCACCTACATAGCACTCCGGTGAGGGTATTTCACTCCGTAGCAACAGGGAGACCAGCTGACAGACCACCAGAATCATATTCTAAATCATTCATTTGGATCTTGATTAGAATCACGCAGGATACTGACTGGTCGGTCGGATGAACGGTCGAAATCAGCAGAACTTGTGGATGCAAAGGGTATCGATAAAGGCTGCAAGGACCTTCAAAGTGTTGTGAAGCCAGAATTAAACTTAGCATTAGAATGAGATGGGGATACTGGAGAAGGGGAATCCTTTGTACATGTGGCAGAATGTCTATTTACCAGTTCTGGACCCTGACTAGTTTCGTTTCTCTTAGGCCGCTTTCACACCAAGGTGGCACATCGCACGCGGCAAGTGACAGGTGACAAGAGGCAAATGACACATTGCGCGTGTCACTCAGTTCACAAGATGGCATCATCGGAGGTTGACATTATTATTGCTGTCCTAAGTCAAAATTAATCTTTTAATTCCTCCAATTGCTCTTCTATCTGTCATTTGAAGGAATAAAGTGGATAACTTTGGGACAGAATGTGAGGGAAATCTTTTCCAATACCCTGAAAATATACAAGGAAAAATGTTTTGATGATTTTACCAATGTGATGTATCATACAAACATTTGTATTTCCCCACACTTTGTACAAATGTTATGTTGATTGGTTTATTGTATGGAAGAGGCATATTTGTGCACAAGAACAAGCACATATCGCACGGTTTTCACACCAAGATGGCACGTCACATGCCACCTGAAAACAAACACACAGAAACATATGAAACTTTTTATGCAAAAGTGGCATGTTACATCACATTTGTCATGCAACCTGCATACCAGGGTAAGATTAGACTTGAATGTATTTTCAGGCATGCGACCTGCCGCTTGAGAAAGATGTCAGATTTTAATGGAGCTTTTACATCCAAAGTTATTATTTGCCGAGTAAATATATAAAAAAAGTCATATAACATATGATATAAGAGAGGAAAACTTTTGGAAGTATGGCATGCAGAGTAGTTTTGAAATGTCTAGAGAGGCTTTGCTCACCCAGGGAGTGAGGTTTTGGTTGAGGCCGCTTTCACACCAAGGTGGCAAATCACATGTGGCTGATAGCAAGCGATTTTATGTTATTCATATGTGAAGCGTGTTTAATGCCTTAGTTAATGCCTTAGTGTTTACACAGAAGAGAGAAACCGGTAAAAGCACTTGGATTTTACATATGCCTTAAAAGGGCATCCGCCTGTTGTCGCCATACAATCTGAAACAGTAAAACAACTAGCTGATGAAATTACGTTTCCTCAATTACATCCACATTTATATCAGCTGTCTGGTGTCAGATTCATAAACTATCAGGTAAACAGCCCCCGTCCTCCATATTCGAAATATTCTCATCTCTGATCCTCTCCAAGTCGCTTATAAACTGGGTGACTATTTCAGCCAGGTCACTTGTGGCCCTCACCTTTCTCTGCACTTTTTTTTCATTAAGACCACCAGAGAACAAATTTCCTATCTTCTCCCTGTCCTTTGATGAGTCAGATAGTGCTCCTTTTTCATCCTCTAAACATCACCTGCTTTACAGGCCCTGCCGGTAGTCATTACCATATGCTCCGACACCTTCCTTCTTCCTCTCTGTCCTTCCTGTTAACTATTTTCGACCACATTTGAACAACAGGAAAAACGGTTCTTCCTCATGGAGCCTATATTCTCCCCTTCTTGAAATCCAATGAATTAGGTACCCTTCCTCAAGGTTGCTGCCCCATCACTCTAACTAGCTGCTTTGCTCTGCTTTCCATCACCTATCCTCCCTTCCCAGACCTCCTAACCTGTTAGACATCCTTATGGAATCCACCATATTCTTCAATGACAACCTACTTTCCTTCCTCACTCACTTACATATCCTTCACTTGATTTATTTCCCTCTTTGCTTATTCCTTCCATAATCCACTGACATCCTTTCCACCTTAACACATCTTTACCCTTGGGGAAAATTCTGTGCTCAATTTTTATATTTTTTGTGAAATGTCTCTGCACATATATGGCCCTGCTAGTGCTTAGCCTTACCTGCTTTCACCTTTCCTTGAATTGGCAGGAAAAACGTATTTTTTACTAGTGCTATGAATATCGATGGTGTTATTTTTATTATAAACATTATAATTACTATAGTGTTATAAACACTAGTAACAGCAAAATAAGATAACAAAATATTTTTGTAAATCAAAGAAAAGGGTAAACGGGCAAGACAGGCAGTACTCATATGCTCATTGGTGACTAAGTACAAGTGTAACCATCTATACGTAAAAACAAAGTAAACTCACAGTGGGCATGGCATACACGTACACATCATGCCCATCGGCAATGGTTTAATCATTAGCCATTGCTAAGAACACACACAGTAACAATTACAAGTGTTCTTACAGTAGTACAGGCTTCCGGTTTCTCATGTGTTTCGTTGACAGCAGTAGGTAGGTATGTATAGTCCCGAGAGCAGACAGAGGTGCATACCCAGTCTTAACAATAACAAATAAATTGCTTGAAGCTGTTCGTCAGTCTTATGATCATAATTTGATATAGTATAACTTCACAGATTGAAGTGGACAGTCTTCCATTACAGGTATTTGTAGAATCACAAAATCATCATGCCACTGGAATTATTAATGGAATTAGTTACTTGGGTAAACCATGACAATTGTGCTATAATACTGTTATTTCGGGGGGCATCTTCAAATGAAACGATATCCAGGAGATATAGTTCATTGTCTTGTTTCTAAAATGTGTATGGTTTAATTCTTGACTAATATATGAAGGAAGAAAACTTGTGTCTGTAGAACCAACATTGTTTTGCAAATGTATGTTACTTTGGGTTACCCATAGTTTCAGTATATTATGCAAGTTTAAACATTTAAACTACCCCAATTTATTTCGGGTATGATTTTAACATAATGTTTTATCTAGAAACAAGTGGATTTTGAGACATTACATTTATAAATATTTTTTTTATTAATAATATTGCCAACTACAGTAGAGACAAGAATAGGAACAGTAAAAGAGAGCAGGTGCAAGTAAAAATATTTAAGATTATTATGGTGAAAAATTGATAATGATTATGGTCATGCTTATAATGACAAATCAATGATGATAATAAGATGATGATGATGGTTTTGGCTGTTTACTTTTATGTCTTTAGTTGATGAGACTTATAACAACAATCATTAAAACAAAATGATTATGGTTGTGCTTATCCTTACAATAATAATAATAAAAATGAAAGTAATTGTAATAGTAATTGATATAATAATAATAATAAAAATAGTAACAATAATGATAAAAGTAATAGTAGGTAATAATAATAATAACAATAATAATAATAAAAAATGATAATAATAATAAAAATAACAATAATAATAATAATAATAATAATAATAATAATAATAATAAACTATATCAGAAAGAAAAGAAAAGAAAAAAAAGAAGACAATAACAGTGACACTGATAAATTAGTAAATATAGTAAATATAGTAAAAAAAAAAAAAAAAAAAAAAAAAAAAAAGCTTTGTGCTATAGCTGGAGCAGAGGTCTATCAAGACAAGACATCCAGTAAATTGTGAGTCCTTTATTTTCCAAATTGGATACACAACACCACCACACCTTGCATTAGGGTAAGGTACTATTACATTAACCTGCATATGAAGCAACAACAACTTGATGAGGCAATATGTTAACCATCTCACTGTAATGCTTTTCATATCCTCTTTAAGTGATGTCAAGATTACATTAATTAATGTTAATATCACATATCTGTCAAAAATTCTAAGGTTTTGAAAATAAAAAAAGGCCACATCACACACAAAGGAAAATGGCTACGTAGGTATGTAGGTATAGAATGGTAGAAAGCTTGATACAAGCAAGTACTTAGAGAGAAATTATTATCTAACAATATATTCTTTTCAATGTCCTACCATTGCTGGAAAATATGATAATGTTGGAGTAATAATTTGGAGCTTCCTTATTTCAGTGCAGAACTTTTGAAGGAGGTTGAATTATATTTGACACACTTAGTAAACTGTAAGTTAAAGAATAATAGACAAAATAAACTGTCCAATATCACAACTTGCTTTCTATGATACTGATAACCCATATATATATAACTTCCCAATCAAATTAATCTATTGACTAATCATAGCAGGGAGTTATCACTGTTTTTTCCTCAAACTGTAAAATAGGAAAATGCTAGTAAATGAATAGTGGAATAATAATAATAAAACCTTGAAAGCTTTCCATAAATAATATGAGAAACAAATACAGGAAGACTCTAATTTCAATATCAACTGCTAAAGAATTGGCAAGTGCAATTTTGGATAGCTGCACAGAACTTGAAATACTTTTATCTGAGCTTTCTTGTTATTCCTAATTAAAAATTTATCAAGTTTAGGAGCAGTGTGTGCCCTGTTCATAGGTGAATAATGTATAATTCTACAATATCTGAATGTACAGTCTTGGCAGGAACATATTAGGAAATCCGATGCCTTCTTGGGTCAAATGAAGCAGATAGTCTAAAGATAAAGATAAAGATAGAAAAAAAAAAGTATTCAAATATGTTACTTTCTTTTCTGCAATTATATGCTGTTATTAACAAACAATGGGTATTCTGTGGATTTACTAGCAAGTAAAAAAGCCGCTGGGTCTTGAATACATAAAGCCTCACTCCATCAGAATATTCCAATGAATTTCAAATACAGTACTAGCAGTACAGAAAAAAAAAAAAAAAAATATCCTTCACAGAATAATCGTAATAGAACACTAAAAGTTCTTAGGCCAGGAAATGATATACCAAAAACACCAAAGGTTGCTTTAACAAATGTGAAAGATCCTTTACCCAATAACACAAGGCCCATACTCCCTGCACTCAACATGCATAAAACTATAAACCTAGGTAACTGTCATTTCCTCCAATTGCTCTTCTAAATCATCTAAATCCTCATCATCTCCATCAAAGAGTTCTTCATCTATGTCGACTGATGCCGCCACTGCACCAGATGTGGCACCCTCTGCATTTTCTTCATCAACAGCTTCAGCATTAGCTTCTAAGAGAAAAAATGAAATATATTAAAAAAAAAACAAAAAAACTTTCAAGAAACTATTCTACCAGCTAATCTCTCAGAATGTAAGTCGCAATAACGCAAAACCGATGACTCAGTTTAATCTACTTTGTCTGGGAAGAAGTAACCTATAAAATAAATTAGAAGGAGAAAATGCTTGACACAATTACTTACTTTCAGCTAGAGCCACTTCATCCTGCAGCTGCTGTAGTCTGTCTGGTTTGGCAACTGACATTGTGTCTGTCGTGTCAATCTCTTTGTATTCTGACATCAAGGAGTTCATGTCAATTTCCTTAAACTGTGGGAAGAAATGAGGCATTAGACTTTCTTGATATCCTTATACAACAAAAAAGATAAATCAAAATGTTACCAGGTAATGGATGAATGGATGTGTGTGTGTGTGTGTGTGTGTGTGTAT